CGATTAAGGCGTTCCTGTCAGACAGAACATTCCAAGTCAAAGTAGACTGGGCCTACCCTTTTCCAGTACCGGTCTCCATTGGAGTTTATCAAGGCTTTGTTTTGGGACCACTTCTGTCTCTGATCTACGTCAACGATCTTCCAGATGTCCTCGCAAGTCCATATCTACTCTTTGTGGACGACTTGAAATCCTGGAGTTCAGACGTCAGTGTCCTCCAAACGGACGTAGACGCTGCAAATCAGTAGCTGTTGGACTGGCACCTTACTCTGAATGACGAAAAGTGCGTCCATATATCATTCGGAGGGGACTCAGCGAACGTCTTTTTCGTGCATGGTGAGAAAGGACCAAAAGACATCACGAGGATAGGTGCCAAAATGATTTGGGTATCTAACTCTTCCAAACATGTCCTTCTGACCTCACCATGAGAAATCAACTTGAAAGGTATTTGTTGTTCTACGGACGACTGGGCGCACTTCCTTTATTACTGGCATGAATAGTAAAGATAAAGTAAGATAATCGCTCAGCCGTAACATCTCTTTTGGTGCCTACCTGCCGTGCTACCAGACGGAAGCACAAGGGCTCTAGACAACGTTGGTGTTGGACACTGATGTTGTATTGTCGATTGCACTAATGATTCCCCCCATTGGTCTGTTTGCTATGAGGCCACAAAAAGAGGCGTCCATGGCATAAAAAACTATAGTAATAAAATGTTTCTTCCAGAATTCAGCATGAGACCCAATTTACCACCATCTCTCCGACAGGAGGAAGATGAGAGATTTGTACTCACTGGACAATGGTTGGCCTAAATTCCGCTCAAAGTGGAACCCACCTAAAGTTTATTGCTCTGTGTATTAACCCTTATTAAGTGTGGTCCATCCATCCGGTTCGATCATTGTCGGTTTCGCTCACAGGCGGCTTTGTTGAACCGGTCAGACGGATCAACACCAATATTCCTCCCACTTTCCGGGCACTCTTAGACTCTTCCACTTCCATAGCCTTCCGTGCCCATCGGACTTCGTGGTTGATTTTCACGGGTTTTCACTTGACGCCTGATAATTCGCCGGTTTGAATTATCGTTGGGACAGGCGGAGATATTTCTCCGAGATTTAAGATGCCATCCTCCGGATGGCATGGCAGATGGGCACCGAAAAGGGGTGCTTAACGGTCGAGATTTAAGATGCCATCCTCCGGATGGCATGGCAGATGGGCACCGAAAGGGTGTTACTGCTTAACGGTTACTAGTGGACTATTGGGATAAAATTGACAAAAGGGGCACAGTTTTATATTAGTCCTCCTGGAAATGGGTTCAGTAACCCCATGTTGTCGGGAAGCTGGCGATGTAGTACCTCAAACGAAAAACGACCTTGGGTATTCCAGTGCCAATCGACACCCGAATGTAGAGCTCTTGTAAGACCTCAGATGATGGCTCTGATGAGTTTTTCGACTTAAGCCTGTGAAAACGTCCTAGTTGCGAAGCTAGTTATCCATCGCTTGTGACCCAGGCGAGTGCCTGCCGGAGTCTACACATATTTTCCAAAAGAGAAGGCAGTAAATTGTTGATCTACATCATCGGCAGTGGTCAATTTAGTTCTGTAACTCGAAATAATCGAAATCGTTCAGTGGTAGCACCTTTTCGGTGCCTAACTGCCATGCCACCAGAAGGTAGCACGAGGGCTGGGATACTGCCAGGTTGCCCAAGCCTAGACAGGGAAGTTGAGAGGCAGAGGTCGAGTTCGAACCACGGACCTTCCGGTCAGTAAATTTGCGCTCCAACCACTGGCCCATCGCTCCCAGTTCTGCGGTTGGTGTATACCTACAATGGAATGGATTCCAGTACCAACGAAGCGTTCCGTGGGGCCAAAGCCCTCTAACGCGTGGTGGCTAACTCCGTAGTGGTCCTTTCTGACGCCATATCTCGCACGTCCACTTCTTCACGTACGAAGCCCACTTAACGCTCGACCACTCGAAGCTTAGCTGTCATGGCCTGTGTGGGCCGGCTAGTTTTAGACGATCGGGCCGATTCACCAACGAGGCTACGTACTCCTCCTGATGGTGCTAGCATTGAGGAGTTGGCAGGTTCCCTCACGAGTACAGTGACAGAGGGGGTTCGACACAAAGGCCGGATTCATGTCACGATGTTTCGTGATGCACGTTGTGGTATGTGGAATAAAACAAAGCACAAGGGAGACAGTGGACGCGGATAAACTCAGATTGGGCGACCGCTACAGGGGCAAGATGGCTCAAGTGGCTAGAGCGCGAATTTACTAACCGGAAGGTCCGTGGTTCGAACCCGACCTCTGGCTCTCGACTTCCCCTGTCTAGGCTGGGGCAACGTGGCAGTATCCAAGCCGCCATGCTTCCTTAAGGTAGCATGGCAGCCAGGCACCGGAAGTTTGTTACAGCTGGACGATTTTCGATCTTTTTGTGCGCTAAAATCTCCGGCAACTACTCGACTTTCTCTGTCTTGGCTTGGGCAACCTGTGACTATCCCAGCCCTCGTGCTTCCTTCGGGTGGCATGGCAGTTAGGCACCGAAAGGGTACTACAGCTGAACAGTAATATACAGCGACATATAAGCTTTTATTTCAACGTAACAGGACACTCAAGGTGGCGTAAGAACTGTTTCTTATGGTATGAGTTATAGCAGGCATGTACGCAGATAATCAACGGTTAGTTTCCTGACTGACTGCTCCCACCTAGGGTTTGGCATCTGACAGTAACTCAGCTATCGTGCTATCTTCGAGCAGTGTGACAGCCAGGCACCGAAAAGTTATGATTGGACGATAACGTCAGTCTAGATGCTGTTGTCGGTTGGGTGGGGAGACGCTTGTTTTCGTCTCTAATATGGCGATGAGGACTTCTGGAGCTGCCATGCTTCTCGGATCATAAATTGTTGTCAGAAACGACAGTATTGATTGCTTGGTAACTGCTCAAATAACATTTGTAAGTGTCACTGCAGCCTACCAAAAGCGTCGTACTAGTTAGCTGGTTTTCAATCGCTGTTCACAGCAGTTCGGAAATTTCACCAGCTTCAGTTTCATCAGCGCAGGTAGAAAGATACTCCTTGAGGAGAGCGCTTGTTCTGGCAATCTGTCTGACTATTTCCGGGTGTCAGTTTTATTGGGCTGACCACAGAGGGATTAGTCTTACATCCATTGACTTCTAACTGCCAGCTTCCGAAGGTTTTGTCGCGGTCATGAAGATTATGCTTTTGAATACCAAACCGGACTCCCAGCTGGATGCTGACAAATCTGCCTATTATTTATTCTTAGTTTATAGGATACCCTCCTTTCTATCACCAACCAACCATTTTGTTTTCATAGATATACGTGCGGTTTATGACTCCACTGATGTAGACAGATTATGGAAGCACTTGATGAGGTTTGCGGTAATTGAAAAGCGTGATCATGCTCATGGCCCTGTATGGCGACATCGTAACTGAAATCCGAGCTAATAGTGAGCTGTCGCATGAATGAATTATCTACGTAAGGTTCTTCATTTGGAGATAATATCTGCTGAAGGCAACTCTTTTCCAGTACCTGCTGTCATGCTAAGATTAAAGCACAAATGGCCACCTACATGTTCATCCAGACATTCTCTGACAAGTATTGTTACGCCGGTTTATCTGGTAGAATTGTGGTATTCCACTGGAGCCTTGAGAAAATAGCGGATGATGCCACCGTTATGGCGCAAAACAGCCAAAGTAAGTATTATTATTATACCATAATGGTTAGGAAGCTGATGGCTCTAGACGCATCTCCCCCGATCCAATTCAGTGAGGTTTACTGCTCTAGAGGACGCTCGCACGTAGCAACATATTCAACTGCATGCAGTCCGATGACTGCAGTTACACAGATGCATGTCAAGCGCCATCAACTGACCAATGTCCATCGGCATCAGCTACTTGTTTGTCATAGATCTTTTACTTCCACTAAACCAAGCCTCTTGCCTCACGTGCGCTAATATGGCATCGTGCAAATATTATCGGGGACCACCAGTTAACACGCCCTCAAGGTGGTCATAAACAACCTGATGGTATTCCGTTGACCGTATTTTTATGGCGCCGTTGTCCCTAGTATGACAATGTCAGGCCAGTGATTACTAGATAGTGGAGCAGATTTACGCCCGTTACAGGTTTGTTTAGCAGATGGACTGGTGAGTATGCTGGTTGTCCACAAGACCGATTCTACGCAAGCATATGCGGCTGCATATTGCACAAATCCACACACTCGAGGTTGCAAAGAGAGAGACTGACAACTTTCAGAATGACTTGCTTTCCTTACAGCATTAAAGCTCCTCACTTCTATTATCTAGGCTTTACCTTCGGATGCTAGATTCTCCTATGGTCTCCTGTCCCGGTAGCGGAATTTTGGGTATCTTCTCCGTTCCTTAACTGACTAGTCAATTAGACCTGGGATGTGACCTTCGGCTATTTCTTTCAAGTGACGGAGCTGGTTTTGTGTTAGAACACATTCGCCTCAAATAGCGTCTGCGCTTCAAATGGTGCCACGGAATCCAGGTTGCCCAAACCTAGACAGGGGAAGTCAAGAAGTAGAGGTTGGGTTCGAACCACAGAGCTTTCGCTCTAACCGCTGAGCCATCTTTCCCCGTGATGAATAGGTGGGCCTGGCGAAATAGGGTTCGTGTTCACTTGGCCTGGTAATAGAGGTGTTTGTGGGGCTTATGAAACCTGATATGGCAACTTCAACATGAATGCGTTAAATTTTTCCAAAAGGAGTATTACTTATAACAGGATACACCCACAGAAACCCTATACTATGATTCCACTCACGTGCTTTGGTTTTCATAAAATATTGCACATTTACTTTATTATAAGACTTGTTCGCTTTCATCCTCTAATTGGGCTCATGTGTGGTCAGAAAGAACCACCTGTCACCACTTGAGATGCTAAACTTTCGTGCTTTTTGTTTACAGGCGGATATCCAAGGTGTTCCTTGAGGGCTTTTCAGACACGAGTGATTCAGGTCCTTTTTTTACTGCATGGATGATGTTTTCGATTCTTCACCTGAGGATAACAAAGCCGATTTGGTTCTCGGCTCCAGGGACTGGTTGCAACGCAAACAAGTCATTCAATTGTCCGCGGAGCGTGATGCTATATTCGCCGCTCGTGAACAACGATTACAGCTACAGTTTGAGTGCGGGGTTCATGAAGGATTCAGAATGGCAAGCAAAATTGCAACCCTCCGGGGTCGTTTGATGGTGCGCGCCAAATTTTCACTTCAGGAACACAAGGAGGCCATTGAAGCGGTTATCACAGAGATCGATGAAGTACAAGACAAGCTCATAGCGTCGTTTTCTGAAAATGGTTATACAACTGACCCTGTCGTCTCCGAGTGCATCCGCAAAGCCGAGCTCCTTCTAGGCTCATGTACAAAATATCCTAATTATTCTTCAGATTAAACGCCATATGCTACTTGCTACAAAACTTGCTTTTCGGTCACTGATATTTTGTCACATGTACCACGGGTGACTCTCTTGTTGAACAGGATACGCGGTGATTTTTGGTGGCATGCAGATAACTGTGACTAGTACGATTCGTCTAACCAGATTCTGTTGGTGGAATCTTTTTGTGGATGCGAGAAAATGGCTCTACTGGAACTCCCTCATGTCTACTGAAGTTGCGATTTATGTCCACAAATCGACCGAAGATAATACTCCTCTTGCAGTGAAAGTCCTGCCATTGTGGTCCGAAGGTCTTCAGAATTTCCATCTGGTTTGTCGGCATGATGACTAAGGTTGCAGACGTTCGACTGAGGAAAGAGTTGTCGTGTAACTGAGTCCTGGGTAGTAAGTCGTCATCCCTGGAGCACAGCTCACCGGTATGTATGCTCAGCGCAGGCCCAATAGCCACCTACCGACGAGGTGTTGTTTCGTCCACAGCCCTTGTTGGCATCGTTCACGAGGCAGATGGATACTTTGGACCAGTTTGGTCGGGTGAGTGCTGGATAAACTTAGCCTCACTATTCTTCTGCACATAACTCATCCTCATTCGCTTCTGAAGGGGAAACATGTTTATCTTCACGTACACTTGCTTCACAGTTTAACGTGATTCCATTCTTTGCACGAAGACCAGTGCAATATGGACATTTATTGTGGTTCGTGGGTGCAATGTGTTTTAGCAGTTTGATTGTAGCTTCGACTGTCGTACCATCTCATACAGATGGTCGCTAGAACGATTCGGGATGAGAGAGTTGCAATATTGGATCTAGACACCAGTTTGTTGCTTCCAGAGTTTGTACCCGGTCCGTTTCGTTTTGGTCTACCACAAAGATGAAAATATTTTCCACGCCACTTCACGCTATTGTTGCCCAGTCAGAATCTGGCCCAGATGTTCTGCAGCCCCCCTTTTTCAAAGAAGGTGGTGACGCCCTGGTGGGCGTCAGCTGTCGATGATGATGGTGATACCCGGGTGCGTAGCCTGACGACTATACTACGGAAGATTTGGAACAGGAGCAATGTGGAGCGCCTCGACCTTGATCCAAATCATAAAAAGTGCCACAATAACGTCGTGCGGAAGCCATCGGCACATCAGCCCGGTAGCCGCTGAATTCAAACTGCTCTCTGACGTTATTTCGCGCAGGATGGTCGATTGTCGGGAGAGATAAACTAGTGAAAATCACTCTCTGTTTCGCGCTTACTGAGGATGCATAGGCCGTAACTTTACGTTGAAACAAACACTTGAACAGCGTCAATTAAATGTCCCATGATGGTCGTTCTTGATGCGAAAGCTGCTTTCGACATTACCGATCGTTAATAACTTTGGCGCCGTTTGGATCTGAGAGGGGTCCTTTCTGTTATGAGGGCATTGTATGTGAACTCCTATGGACGGCTACGAGTATACGGCAAGTTTTCGCCTGACTTAACTACGTCCAGTGGTGTAAGACAAGTCTGCTGTCTCTTGCATTTCCTCTTCAATTTTTCATAGTTGTGCTGCCCAAAATTTCTCCGCCTGCCTCTGAAACCTCGGGAGTCGAAATGCTCCAGGGACGTTTGCTCACAGACGTTGTGCATGCGGACAATATTACTCTCCTTGGTTCAGGTCCTTCAAAAGTGCAAACCACTTCAAATAACTTAAATACTTCTATCGCACAGTTTGGCATGCGCTTCACACCTGCAAAGTCTAAATTGCTGCCACAAGACTGGGTGGATCAAACCCAGTCGACTTCGTAGATAATTTTGTTTGCCTGATCATTTGTTTAAGTTCCTGTCAAGGGCCCGAATCAAGGAGGTCAGGACAGCCTTTGTCAACTTCCGTCACATATGTTGCTTACATGACGTCGGTTTATCCGTCAAGGGCATAACTTGCACTGCGGCAGTGTAATACATACTTCTCCATGGTTCAGAAACGTGACCTCTACGTGTAGAAGACATACGAGCGTTATCAGTGTTTGACCATCGGTGTTTCGGAAGCATTGGTTGGGTCTGGTGGGAACATCGGATTAGTAATGCTGAGGTACGCCAAATGGTTTTAGGAAGAATGGACCTCCCTACGACAGATGAATTGCTCATGCTTCATATGTTACGCTGGTTGGGGCATTTACTCCCCATATCACAGGAGCTCTTTTCGTTCATCCCCGTGCTGAGTGGAAGCGACTAAGAGGTGGATAGTCCATGTCGGTGGTTAATGACACTGTCGAAGGTATTAACTACGCAGTTAGTAGTGCTCATGCATCAAAGCAATTGCCCGTCAGTGCATCGCTGCCTAGTTTTCTGTCACCTCAGAACAGTATGCGATACGGAGTAACTGACCACGCCACCGTCTCCAATGCTTGGTTGTATTTTCCATGCTATCCTACTTTTCGGTCAGCAAAACTCTAGCAGCTGGAACCAACGTAAACTTGGTACATGATGGAACTGATGGACTGGCTAAAAGACAACCTGAAAACTATCGCTGCATGACCGTTCGACGCAGATCAAGTGGTTGACCTAACTATCCACTCGCTCACGTTCGCTCACGTGCTATCACAATCGTACACTTGTTTGGCCAGCGGTCCATGCTAAGTCATTCGAACATTTGGAACGTATCTCATTTGATGACTCGGAACACACATTACTGAGTAAAATTTCGGTAAAGTTGTAATGATAGCATGATTGGCCTCGTATGTTACTACCTGATCTGTTTTGGATATATAAACTTCCATTTTGTGCTTCGAGACGTTATCAAAATAAATTGTAACCACTTATTTTCGTGCGTGTTCGATTGACTTGTGCAACACTATTCGAAACCTTTAGAAGCGGTTGCTTATGATTAGACTGATATTTCTTGAAGAAGTACGATTAGCTGAGAATTTTTCAACCACATGCGGCGGAATTTAACTCTGGGCAGTCGAGTAAATAGGGTTGTGGACTTTTGCTTTAATGAGCTTCACGGTGTGCCGTCAGATTGATTCTTAAAATGGGTATTCTATACACATGTTTCAGAAACGAAAAAAAAATTGAAATGAAACTGCGTTAGCGTTGATTGGTTCTTTATCTAACAGATAACAAACAGAAATCGATGGGAACGCCAAGAAGATTTCAACTTGGTTATAGTCAATAATTGACGGTCGCAAGTGTTAAAACTGGTGATGATGACCCAGCTGTAGCGTCCTTTCTCTAAATAGCTGCCACCCCCCTCCGAAGGAAGCACAGGGACCGAGATGCTGCCAGTTTGTACGAGCCTAGAGGGGAGCAGTCGAGATGCAGAGGTCGTGTTCAAACCATAGACCTTTTGGTCAGTAAGTTAGCGCCCTAACCACAGCCATCCAGGTGGACCACATGAGTCTGACCGGGAAGTCACGTATGAACGCATTTTTCAGTGTTTCCGAGTAAAATCAATATTGTCAGGCATGACATGGTTGCTAGTTACGACGTTTGATAACCATTCAATGGGCTCCGTTTTATCTCATTCGTCCTGTAGTGACCTCATTTTGTCGTGGGTCTTAACCATCTCTATTATTGTTTTGTGATTATTTTTTGGCTAGCCTTCGTCTAAAAGGTGAGAGAAGAATCACGGTCAATAGTGCAACACCCTTTTTAGGGACATCGAGCAATACGGTAATTTGAGCGGGACGCGGGACGCATGAATAAAATTTTTGAAAAATATGAATGGCATCCATCCTCCTTCTCTCGCATCACATGATTTGGAGGCTGTCCTGCTTCTAAGGCCTTTTGTTCGGCTTGTGAATTAAGTGGACCTGAGACGATGTGATGATGATACGGTAGGGAGTTCACGCCCACAGGGAGGTCCTTAATCACTTCGTCAGATAGTGTCGGTTTTGGTCCCTTCGTCCTATCATGGTGGTCCTCCTAGCGGTAATTGATGGATTTCTGCCTACTTACTCTCATCAGTAGTGAACAATCGATATATTCACAAGGAGGATTATCCTATCGCAATCAGGCCAAAATGAACGGATTTGTTCAAATGAACTGCCGACGATTTTAGTACTGTTGAGTCCATCCCAGAAGTACCGCTTGTTTCTAATGAAACCGCAACGCCTACTCTTACGTCCGGTACACGGTTCATTGAGATTACGAGAGATCAACATTAAGAGCTATTTTAATTGGTCATTTAACCGACGATACACTTGGTTTTGCGACCAGTTATCCGGACTGGAATAATCAGTTGAAGCTGTAATGAAAAAAAGCAATGGTAGAGTGGAAATTGCGGATAAAACCAAGCTCAGTTGACAGAAAAACAAATTTTGGTTAGGAAACGGAAAGACTTTATCCTCTAAGGTGTACAGTAAGCAGACGTGCCTTGCTTCATTTTTTCATCAACGTTGAAGCCATAATTCATCAATTCGTATCGTATAGTCATTGGTATTGTGACTTACGTATTCCTTAGTTGGACACCTACACGTGTGGCTCCAGACATTTTCATTCGGGTTGAGGAACCAACTAGGAACTCAACCATAAAAAAGGTTGAGAATGGTAGTTATGGGTGAATTACTAGGGCCAGACGCGTCAATATTACATCATGATGCAATAATATGTATCCAGCCGGGTCATCAGGCAATCGGTGTAGCGGGATGTCAAACTTGTCGTCCTTCACAAGCACAATTTACTGGTCATTCACTCCGTTCCAATTTTCGGTTAAGACGGCATTGTCCTGCTTAGCTTGTTTTCCTGTGAAAGCCACAATGGCATTCTCGTGTGTGCACACCTACAGTAATCTAAGTTCACCTGCTGATGTTCCCATGCTGACGGTGAGGTCAGTCAGACCTGCCATGCCCACGGTGGTAGGAAAATAGGGGAACTGTTGATGACCCCGTTCGGTTAATGTCTCGACTAAAGTTGCCTTGCATAGAGCCTGATGTAAATTGTTCTTGGTGAGGGTGCAATCAGTGGTGGTAAAAAAGCCGATCCAGCAGCTGATTTGTAGTGTTTCTAAATTGGGTGAGGTTCGGGCAAGCCCACTA